ATATCAGAAACATACAAATGAAAATGAAAGTTACCTTTAGTTTCACAGGATGAAATTTCAGTACTGAAACCATGGTGTTTCTTATAGAGCTGTCCCCAGGAGGGTTGTTTTTTTGTTGTTGCAGCCAAGCTACACTGAAAATATCCTCTTGAAGTAATTTCTTTCTTGCTCTTACCAGGTGGGAAGTATCAAAGTCTTCTGCATCACTTCTGTGATGTAGGCTGCCTCACGGTCCAACGGCTGATAGTGCAAGCTGATGTAGCTGATCATAGTCCACCAGGAAAGGCAGAGCTCTTCACACTCACTCCTCAACTGCACAGGAGAGTTCTCATACCCAAAAGAGAGATATGTAATTTCAAAGAGTGGAAAAACTCTGGCCAGGTCAAACTACAGATAACCCTCTAGCAACAGAGGTCACCATGGACATACTAGTCAATGGACATACAAAGACATGCAATTGCACTGGCTCCCTAGTGCCAACACAGAACCTTGTTTGGCAGCTTTTATTTGGCTTTGCACAAGTTTTCTGGGGTTTGTGATCACATTTGTGATGGTGATCCCTGACAGCATTTTGAAGGAACAGGCCCCCGAGCAAGAGAAGCATTGTAGAGGAATTTTCCTAAGAGTGAGAACTAGACTTTAATATTTGCTTCTAAGAGAAGAACACAGACCTCAGCTTTGACTCCAGATAGTTCAACCACACTTGACACATCTTCCACCCAGACAAGTCACTAAATACCTGCAGTGATATAACACAACACACTGAGGGGGACAAATAACTTTTCTGTGCCTGTTGCTTTGTAACATGATGTGCTGTTAAAGAGTTTTCTGGTCTTCTTTGAAAACCAGCTGTACAACCTGGCCTGTGCCTATTGATGGGTCTCTTCCCCTCATCTGCCTCATGAGAGGGGGCTGTCGGAGTAAATTTTTATGAAGTGCCTCACAGAGACTACCTGACATGTGCCTAACTATAAAGCATGGTTAGTATAATAAAATAACTAAAAGGACTTTCACAGAACTGTTTTGCTTTAAAAATATCTTCTCTCAGTGCTCTCTGTTTTAATATTCCCATCTTCTTTCCATTTAATTCTCATCTCATGCCTTTTGTTTCTTTTCATTGGCCCTTCTGGACAATCATTTTTGGAAAAACGTTTTTATATATCTCTTTTTTCCCTCACTCTCTAATAGATACCATCATCTTTTAAAGACCAGCCACTCCCTCCCTCAGCTAAGTACTATCTTGGCAGGCAACTGGAGAGGAGGAGTCTTCTTTAAAAGGCGTTGAAATTGTGTTGTTAAAAAATATATAAATAAAGCAACAAACCTTTCAATCGGGCTTTGAACAATCATCCCTTTCATTCCCTTATGGCCTATTGTGCTTCTGGCTCTTTTATTATTTAGTGTGCATCAAAAAAAAAAAAAAAAATCCAAATGTTTTATGTTAAGCCATTAAGAGTTTATTTGGTTTGAAAATAAATAAATAAATGTGGTGCTCACAGTTGGGACTGTGAGCACATGCACAGTTGTTTGGCAGAGCCAACCTATAGGAGGCACATCAGACGGCCAGAATAAGCTTCAGTGAAAGACCAGAACAAAAGCATCAGCAGCATTTGTTTCTGGTTAAGTACTTTTGCATGAGCCTGACTACTGGAGTGGTTTACCCAGCTTTTATCTGTTTCAAATTCACCTCACTTCCCCCCACCCCTCTGTAGCGTCACCCCCAACTGTAACTCAGGAATTACATGAAAAGAAGGAAGCATAGGATTTTTTAAATTATTTTTTTTTTTCTTTTTTTGAAACGACCTGATGTGAGCATGTGATGGCTTGATATCCAGCATTGCTCCTGAAGTTGTGAGACACTTAACTATATGTTTTTTCATGGCTTGCCTGGGGGCTTTTTTTGTGCATTTAGATTTGGGATTTTTAAAGTTCTGGGTATATTTTGTGAAGATCCAGAAAAAGCATTTTGCTTGTTTCTTTCTTACTTTCTACTCAAATATAGAGCAAATATATAGCAAATATAGAGACTTCTGTTGGTATTATTAAAGAATTAATAGATTGCAAGAGGAAGATGGGAGGAACTTCTGAGACTGAGCTTGACTTGGCTGTCTCAGTTTTGAGACTTAAAAGTAAAACAATCTGACACTCCTTGTTAAGTTGAACGGAGCCACTGACAGTCCAGACCTCAGAAAGCTGAGGGAGAGGTGTACATCTGCAGTCAGGCTCCTAAAGAAGAACAGTGCCTAATGGGTGCTCTTTGATGAATGCAATGTTGCAGGTAAGACATGGAATGTGAGGTTGCAAATGACAAAAAAACTTATAACACATGTAATATCAGGCATATCAAAGCCTCCAAAACAGATATGTACCCACAGCACACACAAAAGAGAACAAGAAACTGCCTTTATGACATTTACACTTTTTTGCTCTTTTTGCAATGACATTGTTGATTTTAATGAAAAAAAAAAAAAAGGCTTATCACTTTCTCTTATAATAGCATGGAAAAGTAGTATGTTCTGAACCCAATTTTAAAATGCTAGACTGCTTTAACTTACAAAGTTCAGTAGATTTCCTTATAAAAGCAAGATGTACCTTTCAAAATCTAGTTATAGGGTGAGTAATCAAGAAGAGAAAATGTCAGATATTTGCACTTAGGCTTAATTTGTTGTAGACCTTGCTCTTGTGTACAGCCTTCTGTGTGCTGGTTCTGACCTGTTAAAAATAGGTACTGGAGCTCAGAAAAGGCTTAAGAGGGAAACTTAACTGAGGTCTTCCCAGTCCATAAAACATGGATTGTAAGCTTTCTGATCTCATGGTGAAAATAACTAACCTACTATAAATATGTGGCAGTATTTTAGTATGCATGGAATGTGTTCCTGAGATATGGATAATTAAGTGGAACAGTGAGGTTATTAGGAATATTTGTATACTGTTCTATAATGTTACTAATATTAATGAGGCAAGAGCATATAATGTAAATAATTAAAAATAATAAAAGAAATCAAGTATACAGAGATCAGTGGACAACTTCTTATTGGTTCCAGTGCTTTTCAATATCTACATTAAAAAGCAACAATAACAGTTGTAGTATCTTTAGCTGTCATGGAGAAGTGAACATATGCATATAAGTAAATTATTACTTTTGAAGAATGGTACTGCTTGACAAGGCACAACTGTAGACTCTGACCAAAGACTGGGTATTTGTTGGGTACTGAGAAGTAATATTTCTTTTCCTAAAAATCCTAAGAGATATGTAGAAAATTCTACTTGCATGATCATTCACCATTCATATTTTAAAGTAATTATTTTCAAGTGCTGATAAAATAAGTGTAGCTAGGTAGTTTAAGGGTTTGTGTGATTCGAGACAAATTTTACAGTTTTACAATTTTAAATTTTTAAAATTTTACATTTTTTAAAGCTGGCCTTTTGTCACCCAATTATTGTCATGAATCACTCAGCTGTTAAAGTATATCAGCAGTTGAATGCCCTTTGTGTCCTACCTGGACACAAATAGTCTCTATTCCTAGAATAGAGACTTGGAATAACCTAGTTCACAAACTTGTAAATAATTCTAAAGGCATTTCACTTGGGATGAGATCAGAACACACATTAAGCTACAGAACCAGACCCCACCAAATGGAAAACAGACTAGTGTTTATTTTACAACATAATGTCACTATGTCTCACATTGTCCTCTCACAAACATACACGACAGCTGTTTTATAACACCTGTCTTTTAGACCTTTGAAAGGATAAGAAAAATATTTACTAGGAAGTTGTAAAAAAAAATAAAATGTGAGCATGGCAATGACTGCCATGTAGATAAGAAAGAAGGATGGTTTGGATTGGATGGCAGAAACAAGATTCCAATGCTGGTCTGACAGTTAAAGACAGAAATTACAAACAGATCAACGAGAACAATTTTTCATCGTTCCACATCTGGAATAGTTGTTGTCTGTGATTTATAGTCAGCATAAAGAAAGAGCACCAGACTGGTTGAGTGTGAGTGGAGGGCAGGGGCTAGTATTGGAAGCACTAGGTCTATATGGTACTTCTCATCGGGAGCTGAAGGAAGTTCTGCTTCTCTGCTATGGTGTGGCTTTGTGTTTAGGTAGAGTTAGAGTGTTCAAAAAATAGATGGGTTTAAAATCATGAAAGTGGACAGAGAGGGTTTATGATTTTAGGAATACTTGAAATTACTGAACTGAAATGCAAAATCTAAAGTTTCTCTGATTTTCAGAGTAATCCAGAATTGTTTTAAGAATCCAGTTGTATAATGAGGCAAAGTCATAAAGTTGGGTCAGAATTTCCTCTTCGAATCTGGGAAATATTTAACACTTGAAACTTAAGTATGGCTTTTATAACTGAGGCATATTTCTTCTATGAACCAAAGCAGAAGACTTCCCTTTAGTCTTTAAATTTTGCTTGGTGTGAACTATGTTAAGGCACTGAGTTTCTTTGTCTGTTTCTGTGATGGGTCTGGAAGAATTAGCTTCTGCTGATTAACCTGGCTCCAGGGTTCCAAATCTAGATCCTTCACTAATTCCTGATGTTCCCTTCAGATCCCTTCTGGGAGAAAACAAAGGTGAGGAAAAAGTCATGCGAATACTAGAGCAAATGCACCCAGTAGATTAAGACTGAAGTTCTGAGATGATAAAGCAAATGTCGCTTAATGTTGAGACAGAGAAAAAGTAACACCCGCCTCCTCCTCTGCACACACACACAACTTGTTTACAAAAGTGCCTTGTAGTGACTGCTGGTGGTGTCACTCCGTCCCATGCCCCAGAGCTATCACCGGGCCTCATGGGAGATGTGACTACAGCATCGGACATGGGACTGTTTGTTCACTCACTTTCTGTGAAGAGAGTTTTGAACTGTGTTTTGAATAGACAGCATTTTCTTTGTGTGGTTGGTAAATAACACAGAGCAAAGTTAGTCAGCAAGCTGCATAGCTTCTGCATTCTGATTCTTTGGAGCCCTTTTGTACCAAGCTTGACAGGATGTTTTTAACAGAATGTGACCTCACTGGAATACCAGAGGTAAGAAAAAGTTACTGGGGCTGTTGGGGAATATTTTGCACAGAGCTGACCAAAAGTACTGCTCTAAAATACCTCTTAGAAAGGTGGTTTCACAGTGATCCAGTAAACACCTTGATCAATGGAAAGCAGTATCTTTCACTCCTTCATAAGTTGTAGGAAGTCTTAATAAGATTTTATGTTTCCCACTCATGGAAAAAGGTGCTGATTTGCAAATTGCAGAATGTTTATGTGCTTGCTGTAGTGTGTGGAGGAAAGGCCCAGTTCTAGTGACAGAACATCAAGATGTTTTCTTTCTAACACAGAACAGAATAAGCAGCTCAGATCCTGTTGTTCATCCAAGTCCTAGAAGCAGCAGTGCAAGAATCGGAGTGGAGGCAAACCCAGCACAGCCAGGAGACAGCGACCTTCTGGACACCTGTACACAATCACCAGGTAAAGGTAAGAAGGAAAAAACCACCAGACCAGCATCAGTGCATTTTCTGGGCATGATGAGGTGTGGGTTTTCACCGCATGCATTCAGACTGGGGCCACTACCTGTAGTTTTGCTTGGATGAGGAGCAGAGGTGCCTGTGGGGCAGCGTGAGCACTCCCTCCCCTTCCTCTGCTGGTCAGTGCCGGGGGATTGCAGCTCCTGGTTTGGGGCAACCTGGACCCTCTTTCCCCAGGTGGGGGATGGGAGGAGTGGGGAAAGGCCTGCTGGTCAGCAGCTCTGCAGGGCTTCCTCAGTGTGGAGCTTGTGAGTCTCAGCACTGACAGGTTTAGGAGGTAGTGGTGCAAGGTGCAGCAGGGGCAAAAGAAGAGAGAGAACTCTGACTGTTCAAAAAATCAGGGGGAGATGATTTTTTTAAAACCCACTCAGATGTAGTTTAGATATTTATTTATACAGCATAAAAATGTTACAGATTTATGCTGAATGAGCTGAGTGATTTGTTTATATTCACAATCTACAGAAGTTTTCTATGAAAAATGAGAAAAGAATGCATTATTGCATGAAATATCTGCATAAAGAATAGGCATCTTGCTGCTCTGAAATGGAATTAACAATATGTGATCTGCTTTACTATGTACACCAACATAATAACAAAGCTTCATTGTTTTTGTAGTCAACAATTGTTATTTTCCAGCCAGTACAGGTGACTTACAGAAAAAAAAAAAAAAAAAAAGGCAAAAATGAAAACTCTTCGGAGTAATGGCTGGAACAGTGAGAAGAAACTAAGTTCTCACTCTAAGTTATTCATAGTTAAAGACTTGCCAAACAAATAGGCCTTTAAAATTGGGAAGTTTTGAGTGCTGCTGACAATGAAAGTGTTCTTCGGTAAATGAGGATAGAAAAGTTTACTCATTTACTTATGACTAACTGGAGTTGGTCTTTACTTTAAGGCACATAAAGAGCTAAAAATTTGTTTTTTTCCTTGTGATCAGTTAGAAAGTGGATAGGTAGAACTTCATTTAGTAGTATTAAAATGCAATGAGCATGTCATGGCTCCTAGTAAGGCAGGGTAATGACTTGAATTTGACAAAGCATTTACAGTTGTACTTTCATAGTGTCAAACTTGCTTCTTTACTTTGATCCACTGGCATGTACCATACATAAGTTGTCAGCTCTTTTCTAATTAGAGCAAATATTTCTTCTGAGAAAACTTACAGAGAGAAGCATGTTCTCTGAAACAGAGGTGTGTCAAATGGGGATGACTGTAGATGATTAATTTATATGCACAACTCTGGTATTTATGAGCAGTAATACCTCTGCTCCTCATCCTGGGTCAGATGCTGGTTATCGTACAGTGTATACCAAACAGCTAATGATGCAGAGATGAGACAGCAGTTAAATAAATGTCATACATTATTCAGTCAGAGAATTCTTCTGAAGTATTAAGATGGAGTTGTCTGATTTTAATCTTTCTACTGCTGTATATAAACTATTAGGGCTTTTTTAACTGATGATTTTTCATAGTGTCTCACCCACTTTAGGTAAACTGCCACCAATAGTTGGAGGCCTGGTAGCTTTTTGATCTTCAATCAGCTGGCAGGTCACAGTTTGCCTTATCCCCTAAATTTGAATGAGAGGGCAAAAATTCAATAAAAGCCATTTAATATTTATGAAAGCTGTGATAGATAAACCAGTAGAGGTCAGTGCAGAGCGCTGAAATGGAAGTGGAGAGCCAAAGCTTTGTGCATTTATGCTCTACTTTAACTCTTTAACTTTTCCTTTAAAATGTGGTAAAGGCTTACAGTGGCTTACAGTAAATATTCCTGTACTCTTCAAAAGATAAAAATAGTTGGGGTAATATGATGATTAAAAACTGCTTAAACAGAGTAATTTAAGCAACAACATGCATTCTGCAGCACGTTATATCTTGCAGACTAATGCTGAAACTCTTGTTTTTTGGAAACAGTCTGTAATATGTATTACATATATTGCAGTAAAAAACACATCTAGCTGATGGCTATGTTGAAAAAAATAGGATAACTTTTAGAAACCAAATGTTCACATATTGAAGTAAAGTAATAAAAGAATTTTTCTCATTTTACATAACAGTTTTGGATAATTATAATTAAGTGTCATTTTAAAGGTGATTTCTTTGGGTGTATACACATATATACAGAGAGAGAGAGAGAGAAGCAGACAGACTCTGTATATAAAGTTGAATTATCTTTTGTTTCACTTTTTAAAGCCATTGTTTGCTCGTGGTTTCCTTTTGTGATTTAAAGCAAGGAAAAGAATCACCGCGTACAGTCTGTGCATGAAAAGGTCCTTCAGCATTTATTAGCTGTAAAAACTCATTTCTAAAAAGCTTCTGTTCAAGCTGCTGTCTGTGAATCTAGAAAGAACAACCTGCCTGCCCCAATTCTCATTCCTTGCACTTAAACTAAGTACTTTGAAAACTATCTTGCTATGAAATTGTAATTGTTGAATATTAAAGAGTTGTCAAAAAAATTGTCACCAGATAAGATGGTATGTTCTGTTTTGATTTCAACACTGACTTACATCTGCTGTCTGTAAGCTTTGGGAGAAATTTCCCAGTATATGCAGAGAAAACAGAACTATCCAATGGGGAAAACTTGAAAATCCCCTTAACTTGTTCTGCTTACCTTTCATGCTTTTCTTCAAACTGATTATGGAGGCACTGGAAACTGTAGCTTCTTTTTATGTGCTTTATCATGCACGTAAAAGTGATAAGTACTAGGCAGAAACTCCATAACTCTTTCTCACAAGCATTTATGTGGTGTGCCATTAGAGTCAGACAGTGTAAGTGTGAATGCAGCTCAGAGGGCTGCAGGGAAGGGATTCCCTGATAACTAACAGCTCTCAACAGTATAAACTGAGGTAGGAAGAAGACAGAGGTGGCATAAACTGAGGTTGCATATCTGATGTTTGGTCTGTTGTTTTTCCATGCTTTTCTCTCTGTAACATCACATCAGAGATCTTGCAAAAGATCTACCTTTATAGATGTAGTGTAGAAGCCAGGTTTTGCCAAAGGCAATGGAAATCCCGATGTTTGGATCAGTGGTGCGACCAAAAGCTCTGCAGTCTTGCTTCAACATTATTTTTCCCCTGTGGCAGAGGAAACACAGAAATAATCTCATTTCTTTCATAACACGGGGTCCATGACATAAGAGTTGGTAGCATGTTAAATGACAATTTCCATTTTGAGTCCAAATTACCAAAGGCTTGGATTCAATTCCATTCAGTTCAGTTCCATTCTTCTTGATTTGAAGGGAAGTGGAGGAACAATTTCTAGTACTGATTTCACTCTTGGCTTTGATTGTGTTTTGAGAAAATACACTTGAATCCAAAAGTCAAACCCAACTTCTTTCCCCAGGTATACTTCTGATGTCTGTAGTATTTTGGCACATAATATTTTCCTATTGCTTTTTTGACAGTTCTCTCTTTTTTTTTTTATTTTTTTATTTTTTATTTTTTTTAGCTAAAAAAGGTGTGAGGAATTGTGTTTTGCTAAGCCACAGCAGAACTGCTTAGAGTAACTGATATGCTTCACTAGCTGTTTTTGGGAGGGAACCCTCCTCCTCAAATGTCTTTCCTGAAAAGTAGTGCAAAAATAGAAGTTAAGGAGGTCCTTAAACTAATAAATGTTCTGGATTTAGCCAGTCAATATTGAAGTCCAAAATTTCGACTGTTTCTATTGCTTCAATTACATTTGTTTACATGTTAAATTTCATTAACATCTAGTCTGTTTTTTTGTTTTGTGTTTGTTTTTTTTCTGTAACATATGGGATATAAACCCCAAAAATGTAGAGAACAAAACTATGTTGCTGGAAATGTGTAGTTCAGTCAAGTATAATGTTATGCTAGAAGTTTGTTATTCTTATCTGTATTCAGAGCTGTTCATTATTAAGTAAGAGAAGGTCTATCTTATCACTGAAGTACTCATTCTCTTGGTAGATTAATGTTTGATATTTTCTTGTTTGTGATATTAAATTAATGCATTCTTACAGGTATAGTAACTTTATGTTCTCATTTTGTCCCTCTTTTCTGATGTCTTTGATTTATTTGTTTGTTCTTTTAAAAAAACCTTCCCTGCCAAGTAGCTATGTGTAGTTAAAATACCCTACCACTGTGTAGCTAGGTTTTATCTTTGTGTAAGTCAGAGATAAATTTCTCCATTCTTATTGTATGTGTGTACAGGGGTGACTTTGAAAATTTTGCCTTACCTGACATGGAGGTATCTGTCATTTAACTGTAAAGCTGTGGATCTGTTTAAGCATGTATCTGTTTAAGCATGTTTGTATCCAGGTGGGAATAGCACTAATTACAATATTAACGTTGTACCTGAGGTATAGGTGGAGTTAAGGCTTTCCAGAAACTGAAAATCTCTTCCTTTTCATAGAAAATTTCTCAGTCGATTTCTCTTATACCTACATATTTCTGAGATGTCAGTATTCACGCTAGCACCTTAACAGTGAAATAAATAAAAGTTAATACAGTTTTTGTAGGACATATTCATGATTATGTTTATAAGCAAAGTCATTTCTGAGGACATTTATGTTTTTAGAAAGTCTCTTCTACAAGCGAATCTTATGTTTGGGTCTCTTACACAGACTAACTCTTTGGTGAACAAACTGTAATACATCAGAAAGACCTTCCATATTATATGCTTGTTATTAGTCAAGAGGATATTCAGAAAAGAATTCACAGAATATAAAATATTTAACAAGTACATAATCTTAACTTTGGCCTTTTGTACTTTAAGAGCAGATCTCAGATTCAATGGTATACACTGGGTTTTTCCAAGACTGTAAAAATACAATTAATAGCAATGTTATTTTACTACATTTTTTGACAATTCTTTGGGGGTTTTATATAGGCCCAGAAAAAGAAACCTGCTTTCCTGAAAATTTTTATCTATGGTTGTTTGGGTTGTTTTTGGTTTGTTTGTTGTTTGGGTTTTTTTTTTGGTTGTTGTTGGTTTTTTTTC